TGGGTTCCTTTAAATCAGAACTAGATAAGATTTTAACAACTCTGAGCTATTAGTTAAGTTCTCCCCAAGCGAGCTTGATGGGCCGAATGGCCTCCTCTCGTTTGTATAGTTCTTATGTTCTTATCATGCCCCAATCAGTGAAAGTGTGTTTCCTACCCCTAGACTCCAGAGGGTTATATTTGAAAAAAATAAAAGAGAATAAAGTCTGTAAAATATAATGTTTTCAGTGCTACTACGCTCAACAAGGCAGCCCAAACGACGTGACAGGCAACGTGCTGACTGCCCCTCCCACCACCAAACACTACTCCAGTCAGTCAGGCATTTGCTGCACTAGCTCGTTGCAAAATGGCTAGTAACGTTAATGCAAGTATCAGACCAGAAATAGAGGATCCTCCTGTAACAAACAGGTCTGGAGTTTGGGAGCACTTTGGTTTCCCTGTAAGTTATGAGGGTGATGGCAAGAGAGTGGTGGATAAAATGTAGACACACTCATCTTTCTGGAAAAAAAACTTAAAAATTGATTGAAACCGAGTTCCATATAAAAACAAAATTGTTCTTTTCTTTCTATTAGTTTATAACTACTACAAAATTACATTACATTTTTTTATCAGGAGCTTTTTGGTTTTGGTTATAAAGGAGGTTTTGTTTTATTTGCTGCTAAAAAGAAGATGGGTGAACTTCATCATTTTTTAAAGTAAAAGAAAAAAGCAAGATCATACTTTTTTGATGTTTTAATAAATAAAAAAGTGAAAAAAATCAAAGAAATTATCTGGCATTTTTTTAAATTTTTGCTGTATCGAAAACATACCGAACCGTGACACCACCGTGCCGTATCGAACCAACCATGATTTTTGTGAACCGTTACACCCCTATTTATTACGATTTTGTTATTTATGTTTACTAAGTTAAAATATGATTAATTTGATTATATTATTTATCTTTACTCAGTTACCTCAGGACCGCTGTAGGTTTTGAGTTAATGTCTGTCATCTGGCTAAAGTATCTCCGCTGCGATATCAGGCTGCTGCGCTCAGTCCCCAGAGAGCGCAGATTAAGTGTGTTACTCAGTTACGCTCTGGGCAGCGCTGAACCGGGACATTAATAGGATAGAATAGGAAGCCTTTATTGTCAGTGTACAGGTAGGAAATACAATATATAGACAGAAATATATAAAATATACACATAGAGGGGAGGGGAAAAGCTCCCCCTACTCATCAGGCTTACATTTCATTACATTTTATTTTATTCAGAATCAAAATTCACTCTATTGGTACAGTTGCATGTACTATGATTTTGTTTTGGCAGTTTTGGTGCATTCAGAGACAACATAGAACATAAGTCAGAGAAAAACAGTCATTTTGCATGGGTTTGGCAATGTGAACAAACATTCATTTATTTTTGTCTGACATACGTCACACTTCAGACAGAGTAAAAAGGGTTATACTGATTAAAAAGCAGAGATTTTACCTTTTTGCCATGGAGAAGCAGCAACATGTGACACTGATCTGATAAGGTAAAAATGATTCCTCCAGCACACGGTGAGCTATCCCAGCATGCACAAGTACATGGAGGAGTTTGTACCCATCCCAAACCCTGGATAGAGGGGCTCAGTGAATGAGGAGGTGAATCTGTACAGGAGGGTCAGTCCATCAGAGGAGACTCTGTAGAAGGACAGAGCACCAGCCCCCCAGTCCAGATACACTCCTACTCTGCGGAAGCCTGAGCGCTCTATGGGTATGTGAGTCTGTTTATTATTGTGATGGACAGAGTAACTGTCAGGAGAACAGCGCAAACTCCATGACTTGTCATTGGCTCCAAGCAGACAGTCATAACTTCCTCCTTTCCTCCCGATTCCTTTATAAGTCACTCCTATCCGGACAACATCTCCACTCCAAACAGCCTCCCAGTAACAGCAACCAGTCAGACTCTCTCTGCACAGAACATTACACAAGTAGTCAAATCTCTCTGGATGATGAGGATATGGCTGCTCTGCCCCCCATGTCGCCTTCCTGTTCCCCCCTGACAGAGACAGGTCTCTATTTGCTGTGTTGGGGTCCAGCGTCAGCTGGCAGGAGTCTGTAGGTAGGAGGAAGAGCGATTAATCCCATCACGAAGCCCAGCATCTCCATCATTATCACTGTCACACCTCACACACTCACTAACACAGAACTCGCTCCGATAAACACATTTTATTCCCAATATACTCATTTAGCCGCCCGAGTCTGCGGCGCTCCGGCTGCCCCCTGAGCTGTGAGACACGCCGCGCTGAGAGACTCGCTGGGGACCGAACTGCACTTTAGCCTGCGCTCTATTATTCTGTATGATACATAAAATATAAAACAGCACAGTGTCCCCTAACGAAGCAGGAATTCAAGTATGTGAAATAGCTCAGGAAATGTCGGACAACCGCGTGACGCCGGCGGGAAGATGCGCGTGTTAAACTAATATGCTTAATTACAGGTAAATAAAATTACAAACAACATTCATCAAACATATTAAAATTATACGACAGAGATTACCACTAAAAGTGAGTTTCTCTTTCCGTCACAATATGAACTCCTTTCAAACCACTTTGGACACACAACTCTCTCCCAACACGGACACATCTAGGCTGGTTCTCCGCAAAGCGCAACACTCGCGCATTACACCGCGCATGCGTACAGGGAAACGTTCATATTTCTTCGGTCAAGCTGTGTACTTTGCACATGCGCACGTGTCCTATTTAAGTATTATTATTAGTAGTAAATTATTATTCTATTATTCCTTGCACATGTACCACAGCAGTGAGGTCTGTATGTTTCCCTACGTTTTACAAATTCAAAGCGCCAGTTTACAGGGTTGCCAACTTTAATCAACTGGCTGGCGTGAGATTTTCAATTCGGGACAAGTCTGCACACACATGCATACACATTTATATGTATGTAACAGTTTTATTGGGGTGGCAGTATGGTCACGTTTTGTCAGGGGACATTGTCTTTACTTACGGTACAGATAGTATTAAAAGTAGCATCTGATTTTTTTAACAATGAGTGGCCAGAAGAGGCAAGAAAGAAAATTTTCCAAACACTATTGTGTCCTTCTGTTTACAGCGTCTTCAAAATTAAGTATAAGTTTATAAAAAAGCAGTGTCATGTGTACAATGAAATTCTAACTTTGAAATTCTTAATTGCCTACTTTCATAAGTAGCGTTATTTTTCAATGCAGTTCCATCCATCCATCCATCCATTTTGTGCCACTTATCTAATCTAATATATAACATATAATCTGTCATGATCCGCTCCGTCCGCTCCTAGTGTGTGCCACGCCCCCTCATTATCCACATGTGTTTCCCCGATTGTGCCCAGCTGTTTCCTATTTCTTTTGCCTTGTCCTATGTATATGAGTTCGCGTCTCCCTCAGGTTCCCAGACTTGTCATTGTAGTGTCTCGTTGATGTCCAAGCGTGTCTCTCCTTGGATTATTAAAACCCCTGTTTACCCGACTTCCTGGCTGTTCTCGTCTGCTTCCCGGCTCGCCGTCTCCGAACGTGACAGAATGACAAGTCTCCGAAACAAGCTCAGCGCTACCGGGGAGGTTCTCCCCATGGAGGATGAGGTGATCAGGTGGACGAACCAGCTAGATCACCACCCGGATCCCGTAGCCCGCCGGCTGGTGGACGGCTGTTTGGAGCTCCTGGATAGGAGGTTCCATACTGGCGAGGAGCAGCTGCTCGAGCAGGTGGGCGATAACTTGCGGCAGCTGAGGGAGAGAGCGGCAGTTTGGCTACCCCACCCGGGGTATGCCGCCCGGGAACCGCCCCCCGACTCGCTTCAGGCCACCTTTCCGGTCTCGAGAAGGACTACTCATCAAAAGCGCAAAACTGAGCTTAACGCGGCTACGGCCGTTCAACTCCCCCGCTGTGGGGAACTGCCCTGGGTCCCAGAGGGCTCCGCTCACCCCCAAGCAAAGAAAAAGCGCCGTGGAAAAGGGTAGAAAGCCGCCCCAATGCTCTTCCTGGGGGTGTGCTCGCTTCTCCCCGCCGGGGAAGACATCGCGGTCCCGCCTGTTACTACCGCCGCAGCTCCGGGTAAGCCCCGCGTGGGGGAGAGGCCACCTCCGAGGGAGGCCTATAACTATCGGCCGGCGCAACTGGGACAAGGGGGAATGCGCGCTGTCTGGGATGTGATTCCCCGGATCCCCAAGGCCCTTAAAGGTGCAGCGCCTGTACGCCCGGCGCCGATCCTGGCGTCTATCGCGGACCTGCCTGCTCCGGACTTGCCAGCAGCACCGGCTGCTACTGACGCCGCTCTGCCCACGGCACCGCCTGCAGCACCCGCTGCTGCTGCCGCCGCTCTGCCCGCGGCACCGCCTGCTGCTGCTGCCGCCGCTCTGCCCGCGGCACCGCCTGCTTCAGCCCGAGGTCCTGGCTTCACCTCCGCCTGCAGCTGAGGACACCGCTCTGCCTGCGGCACCCGCCGAGGCGCCCCCTGCTGGCCGCACGCCCGAGGTGCCCGCAGAGGCGCCCCCTGCTGGCCACGTGATGGCGTCACCCGTCGAGGCGCCCCCTGCTGGCCGCCTCTCCCGTCCTGCCCTGCCTGAGGCCGCCTCTCCCTTCCTGCCCGCGGCCCTGCCTGAGGCCACCTCTCCCGTCCAGCCCGACTCTCCCGTCCGGCCCGCGGCTCCGGCTGCCCCGCCTGCGGCCACGCCTGCGGCTCCAGCTGCCCCGCCTGCGGCCACGGCCCCTGTTCTGCCTGAGCCTCCACCCTCGGGGACCTCCCTCCTGACTCCCTTGCCCTTACCCCGGCAAGACCGACACTCCCCAGGACCCCGCCTTTCAGTGTCCCGTAAGGGACAGGGACACAAGGGTCGGGCTCGGGTCCCGCCCGCCCTGCCCCCTGGCTCGCCTGTTCGGCCCCTGGCTGTAGCTCGGTGGCTGCCTGTGGGTCCTGCGCCTCGGGGTCGGCGGTCTCCGCCGGGTCCCCCCCAAGATCCTCGGTGCCGGTCCTCGGTCCCGCCTCCAGCTCCGTGTCAGCCGCCTCCGGGCCCCCCTGCTCCGGCTGGGTGTCGGACGGCGCCTTCGCCGGCTCCGGCTGCGCCTCTGCCTGCCGCGGCTTCCCCCTCCTGCCTGCCTGCACCGGTGTTCCCTCCTGCTCCCTCCGTGTCCCCACCGTCACTCCCTCGTCCCGTTCCCTTGGCCCCTGGGTGGTTCCCTCCTGCTCCCTCTCGCCTGCGGCCCCTCCGGCCGCTGCCCGTCACCCATCTGAGTTCCTTCGGGCTCCCCTTCTTCCTCCTCCCTTTCCCTTCGTCCCGCCTGTGTTTGCTCCTCGTCCCTGTGTTCCTCCTCTGTTCGCCCCTGGCCCCTTCGTGTCGCCTGTGGGTGTTCCTTCTGTGCCCTCTGTGTCTCCCTTCTCTGTCTGTCTGTCCGTGTTTCCTGTGCTTTGTCGGGTCTTGTCCTTCTTCTCGTCCCTGTTTCTGTTTTGTGTCTCGGTCCTGTTTCCTGTGTCCTGTTGATGTCTTGCTTTTGTCTTTCAGGTCCTGTCTTTCAGGGATTCCTTCCGGTTGGACATGCCCTGAAACACCTTCCCAGGGAGTCATCCAAGAGGCATCCTAGATAGATGTCCGAACCATTAACTGACTCCTTTCAATGCGGAGAAGCAGCGGCTCTACTTTGAGCCCGAATGTCTGAGCTCCTCACCCTCACTCTGAGCCCAAACACCCTGCTGAGGGAACTAATTTCTGCTGCTTGTATCACAATCTATTTTTTTCGGTCATTACCCAGAGCTCATGACCATAGGTGAGGGTAGGAATGTAGATCAACTGGTAAGTCGAAAGCTTTGCCTTCCAGCTCAGTTCCCTCTTTGTCCAAATTGCCACACCGTGAACAAAGACCCCAAGATCAAAGTCAAAGTCAGTGAACTTCATTGTCATCTCCACCATATATAAGTATACAGAGAGACGAAATGGCGAAGCTCAGGGACCACAGTGTAACATAAACTTAGTCCAATATAGAAAATAAGACAATGTGCAAAGAACTTACAGGATAGTGCAACTGAGGAAGAGGAATAGACAGTAATGTGTAATATTGGGTAATGCACAATATTGTTAGAACTATATTAAATATATGATGTATTTTATGTAATCAGTTAGACCTGAATTCACCATCATGTACATTGTAACAGCATGAGTTCACAGTGTAAAACAGTGTATAATAATAGTAGTAATAACAATAACACGTCTAAAATTTCTAACAGCTGAAAATAGGAATAGAAGCAGAATAATGGAGCAGACAGAGAATAATGGGGATTCTTCTTATCGCCCCCATGTCAGAGTGACAAAGTGTTAAGTGCAGTGCAGTGCTTAAGGGTCGGTCTGTGGCCTTTAGTTGTGGCTTAAGGGGGGGTTGAGACAGTGATGAGGCAGAGTGAGTGATCCTGGGGGGGCAGCATGGTGTTGAGGAGCCTGACAGCCTGGTGGTAAAAACTGCCACGCAGCCTGGCAGCCTGGGGGTAAAAACTGCCACGCAGCCTGGCAGACCCGGCTCTGATGCTGCAGTATCTTCTCTCAGATGGCTGGAGTGTGAGATGACCATGTGAGGGATGTGATGGGTCCTGCACAATGCTGCAGACCTTGCGGACACTGCGTTTGCAAAAAGTGGCTTGTAGGGAAGGGAGAGGCACCCCATAATGTCCTCTGCTGTCTTCACTACTCTCTGCAGGCACTTGCGGTCAGATTTGTTGCAGCTGCCATAGCAGATGGTGATGCAGTTAGTTCTCTGTATGCTGATTCATCTTCTCTGTTTATCAGTCCCACCACAGCTGTATCATCCACAAACTTGATGATGACGGTGTTGGAGGTGTTGCAGCCCATACGTACTGACTGGGGCCTCTCCGTCAGGAAATCCAAGATCCAGCTGCAGAGAGTGGTGTTCAAGCTTAACCCCCTCAGTTCCACAGTCAGTTTTTGAGGGACGTATTGAAGGTAGAGCTGAAGTCTATGAATAACATTGTGACATATGTGACTCTCTTATCCAGATGTGTCAGGCAAAGGTGACGGGCAGAGGCTATGATGTCCTCAGTAGACCTGTTGGACCGGTATGCAGATTGGAGAGGGTCTAGAGAGGTAGGAAGGTTGGTCTTTATGTGTGACATGACCAGCCTTTCCAACCACTTCATGATGATTGACATCTGGAAGGGAGACATCACCACCACTGATGTATGGGTTGGGCTTGTAGATCGTGATTGGCTGAATGCCCTGCCATATGCGGCGTGTGTCTTTGGTGCAATTAAAGTGTTCACTGATCCTCTGCACTTGTGCATGATTGGCTATCCTCATAGCTCGGGACAGGTTGCCTCTGGGCGTCCTGAGGGCAGCCTTGTCTTTAGGTCTGAAAGCTGCATTTCTGATTCTTAGTTGTGTGCGCACTTCCCTCATCATCCAGGGCTTTTGGTCGGCTCTCGTGGTCATCATTCACAGAGTTTATATACTCCTCCAGGTTGATAGCGTCACCATTTATAGCAGCCTCCTTAAAAATGTCCCAGTCAGTAGGTCCAAAGCAGTCTTGGAGAGCTGAGACGGCACCAGCTGGCCACACTCTTACTGACTGGTTTGGTGAGCTTCAGCAGGGATTTATACGCAGGAACCATGAACACAGAGACACGGTCTGAGTAGCTGAGGTGAGGGCGGGGAAGGACCTTGTAGGCCTCACAAACTTTGGTACAAACATTGTCCAGACAGATTTTCTCTCTAGTTGGGATGTTCATATGTTGGAAGAATTTGGGGAGAACTCGCTTCAGATTTGCCTGATTGAAGTCTCCAGCAATAATGAAAAATACTCTGGATTATCTTAACGACCTAGTCGTAGGAATGGAACTCGGTGGGTAAGTGAGGAGTGTCTGTATAGAGCAGGGTTCTTCAAATCTGGACTTCAATTCCAAATCCAGGCCTTGTTTTCAGTTAGTCACAGGTAGTTAGTTTAATAATCACTGATTCTGATTGGTCAGAGGCTTCACACCTGACTGACAGGTAAAGGAAGGCTGGAAAACCAGCAGTGCTCGGACCTCGAGGACCGTGATTTGAATAATCCTGGTATAGAGAATGCTGCAGCAGTACTACAAAATTAGCAACTCACTGTGGAGGCAGTGATTGTATAATATTTCCCCCCAGCTTTATTGAACATTGTATGTCAAAACAAGATAAAATAAAATAATACATGCATGATGAAATTATTCATATAAGAGAAAGAAGGAAAGGAAAAGAAAAAAGAATGAAGGAAAGAGAGAGAGAGGGCAAATACAGTTCAAAGTCATTTTCAACCCTTTTGGCCTGTGCAACACTGGTCTACGTGCCTCAAATTGCCCCTTGGGGACAAATAAAGTTTTTTGATTTGATTTGATTTGATTTACTCAATGTTCCGAGAATGAAGACCAAGCAGATTGAAGCAGCTTTTAGCCTCTATGCTCCCTGTCTGTGGAACAAGCTTCCTGAAGACCTGAGGTCTGCTAACACTGTCAGCATATTATAATCGGGGCTTAAAACGTTACTGTTTGCTGCAGCTTTTCAGTTAGGGCTGGACGATATCAAATCGCGATTAAATCGCGCATGCGCAATAATCACTGGGGCTTCAGATGACAGATGAAATCTATTGTAAAATGTCAGTCAAAAGTCTGGCAGGTCCTGAAGACCAATAGTGCTGATGTATATTTGCATAGCAAATGCATCATCTGAAGCCCCAGTGATTATTGCGCATGAGCGATTTAATCGCGATTTGATATCGCCCAGCCCTATTTTCAGTAAATTAAATCAGCAGGAGTTTAGTCATACGATGCCTCTACAATGACACTTCTTTTTAGTTAACTGTTTATTTGTTTTTTGGGTTTTAAGACTTTTTAAAATTGTCTTTTAAATTGACAATGAACGTGTTTGTAAGTCCCACACCAAAGCTGCAATGGTACTTTTGGTACTGGAACTTCTGGTACTGGTACTCGACTGTAAGTCAATGGAAAAGGGAAAGAACCAAAAGTACCATACCTGGGGCAGTGGAAAAGCACCCTGAAAAAACTTTCCTTACTTTGCAATTGGATTCAAAGTCTACTGAGATAAAAAGCTTATGTAAATGTGAAAGATCAGGAGGCAGCGGAAGAGAGAAAGAGATGCTCCCCTAGCAGTAGAAAATGAAACACAATAAAACACACTCCACCTCATACAGGGAGAGAGAAGTGTGAGTGTGAACAGACTCACATTGTAAGAATTCTGCTCTGGTCCTGGGTACTGATACCGGTACGACAGTGTCTTTGGTAACTAGAAGGTGACAGAGAGAAACAGGGTGTGAGTAAAAGGAATTTACTTGTGGGAGATAGACTTCACTCACTGTGGAGATAACAGCAGTAGGGTATTATCATTATGAGGGACAATAACAGGCATTTTAACAAACTACAAATCATGGTAAGTTACACATAATACAGATCTTTGGTTTCTATAATATAGAAGAAACATGTTTCATGTGATCTGGGTTTTGCAGCTCTTTCACCAGTTATCACAAAGATTTAACCTTACTGAAAACAAACTGACTTGGTCACACAAATGTGAGGCTGACTGTACTGCAAACTCTCTCTGCATGGTCTACATCAGGGGTGGCCAGTCTTACCCACAAAGTGCCAGAGTATACGCAGGTCTTTCGGAGAACCTTTAGGTCAGCTGATCAACCCCAGGTATGAGGACTCTTCAGCCAATCAGTCCTCTAATTAGTAATCCAGCAAAAGCCCACAGACAGCAGCCCTTTCTGGGTAAGATTGGCCACCCCTGGTCTATATTAAAGACTATTGAACAGACTAGAAAATGTATTAACCTGGGTGATGGATCTCTGCCATTTTCATTCTGCAAACATTCTCCAGTTGATCTTTCAGTTCAGAAACCGCCTTGCTCAAATTCCCAAAATCAGATCTTGGACTGACAGAGATTCTGGGTCCAAATCCAGCTTCAGGGGTGACAGGAAGAGCCTGGTGCCTCTACAGACACACAGTCTGATTAAACAGCTTCATCAATACAAATATGTATTGCAATCTAATTAAAAGGACCTTTAACATCTGACAAATGACAGACTAGTTGAAATACAAATGACAATATGCATTCATTTGAATTCTCTGGTTTTCTTATTGCCAAAGTAGCTGTTCTGTTACCTGGAGGAAATGGATGTGATCCTCTGTGTGTGAAAGCTGCTCCAGCTCAGAGTGTCTCCTCTTTAGTTCATTGATCTCCTGCTTCAGTCTCTCCATGTCTCGTTCAGCCTGACTCACTGCAGCCTTCTCCTGATGTCTGATCAGCTTTGTCACCTCAGAGCGTCTTCTCTCAATGGAGCGGATCATCTCAGTGAAGATCCTCTCGCTGTCCTCCACTGCTGACTGTGCTGAGCTCTGTTGGTGACACAGGGAGCAGAGGACAGTAAATTACAATTGGCCCCTTTTGAGACTCCAGAGAGCCTCATTGTACAATAGTGATGTGAGCTGACAGGAGGTATAAAAACAGCACAGGGCTGGGGTTTGGAGCGTCACCATGCTGGATGCCTCAGGTACTGAAACCCAGGAAACACTGATTAGAAATGATCACTGTAAATCTGTATTATATTCAAAGTTCTATTTTTTTTTAATTATTTATCTTTTTTATTTTTTTCATATCCTTTGTGACTAGTTGCAGTCAAAAGAGTGGTTCAGGATACATTTCACTGCATGTTGTACCGGTATGACTGTGCATGTGACAATTAAAGAATCGTGAATCGCTCATTAAGCTGATACACTGTCAGCTGCAGGGATTTGGCAGAGACTGGTGGCTGTGGGGCAGGTTGGTTTCCACCATTAGGTCTCAGTTTAATAGGTGACTTTCTTGGTGTTTATATGCACAACTTTGTGAAAAGTTGCATTTTTCTCAAATGGGCCTTTTATGGTATTTTTTTTTTTTATATAAAAAAGCTACTGCTGCAGCACTTGGTTAATCTCTGTTACCAAGCAACTTTATCCCATTCAACCTCTGACCCAGAATAACCCACAGCAGCATTAATTTGATTAATCCCCACAAGTCTGTAAATCTGCAATCTGTTGAATCTGAAAGAAGATTCAATATGATCACAAACCAGCTGTTATCTTCTCTTCAGGTTCATACTCACTGTGAATGAACCCACAGCCTCTCTCAGCTCCTGCAACTCCTTCTCTCTCATCTGAATTCTCTGCTGAAATTCCCTCCGAGTTTCACCCATTTGTTTCTACAGATAGGAAACAAGATAAAAAAAACAACTTTGTTTCTTTAGCTGAGATCACATTCATTAATCATCCTGTCCAGGGTGGAGCCCAGCCTTGGGCCCTATGCTGCCTGGGAAAGGCTCCAGGCACTCCCCCTGAGCCTGACCTGGATTACCGGTTAGGAGATGCATGGATGGATGGATGGATATTCGTAAATGATTTATTGACTGTAGGTAGGATACAATGGACATAGACCCTTTGGTCCTGTTTCCACCTGGTATTAATATGAGTCCTGGGTGATCCAATCACAAGTGGACAGCGCTAATTACCCAGGATGCATTGAAGATGCATTGAGATCTGATCACTCAGCTCACATTTGGAGCCACATATGGCCACATATGTATGTGCATATATCTGGGCCACATATGGCCACATTCTTATAGCAGTGTGAAGGTGAATGTGTCCTGAGCTGCATTGCAGGACCGCCTACTCAAGTGATGTCCTATTTGATTTATATCAGAAGTCATGTCAGTTGTGAATGGCCCACTGTGTAGTAAACTGTATTGTGAACAACAACAATGCATCTTTTCTCCTGCGATACTGAAAACTTTGAATCTGCCAGGAAGTTAGTTTAACATTCGACTGTTGTGACCCATTCAACTGTTGTGACCTTTGTCAAAGTGTGCATCATTGATGATCCATGGAAATTCAGAAAAGAAAATGTGTAAGATGTGATTTTTTAAAGATGTTTCAGAATTTGCACAGATCATATATTTAATGTGCATGTTGGTGCGCAGCCTGGTGCAGGCAGGGAAACAAGGTGACGATCCACTTAAAAGCCCCAAGACAAAGGGATTTAAGGAAACTGAACAAACCTGGAAAGACAAAATAAAGGAACAACAAGGGGTCAGAACTCAACAGGGAAAAAGTAGCTAAGAAAACAACACGTAGACTAACAGAGGGAATGGGGCAGCTAGTGATGTTAAGCTTGACGCCGAAGCTCCGAGGTATGCGGCAAAAAATAAACGATTCACTACATTCTGAAGCACAGCTTCGAGGTTTCCTCTGTTCCATCTTAAACACGTGACCACGGTCATCTGAAGCTTCGTTCTGCACTCAACCATGTGACTGTTTGGAAATTGAACATGAGGCACAAATCTCATTACCGGTTTCAAATGTGTTATAGAGCACATATATCAGCACACACACACTGCAGCGTAAGTTTTGGAGCTATGGAACCAGATAGGAAAAGAGATCGTTCTGAAGTTTGCCTGCACTTCAAACATGTATCAACAAATAACATTCGTCGGTTGGTAAATTGGAATATATGTGTGTGTGTGTGTGTGTGTGTGTGTGTGTGTGTAACAGTGTTGATGCTGTTATTCTTGGACTGGCCTGGTCCAGGTGGAATGTTTGCAGTGCTCTCAGCAGCTAACCTATAGCAAGAACACCTCATCAATGTTGAGACATTTCTGTGCTAAGCATGGAAATGTCCAGAATGTTCTATCCACCAGTCAGTCTACAAGAAGTCCATCCATCACCATAACTGCTTAATTCCAACTGGGGTCACGGGGGGGGGGGGGGACGACGACGACGACAATGTGCAGGAACAATGTGCACAGGCAGGAACCAACCCTGGGCAGTCACCAACACATACAGCCAGCCACACTCACCAAACTGCAGGGCCAATTCAGACTCACCAATCAACCTGCCCTGCAAGCTTTTCAACCATGGGAGGAAACCAGAGCCCCCAGCAGAAACCCACTCAAAGAAGGGGAGAGTAAGTCAACTCCACAAAGAAACAACCCAGGACCAAACCCAACACTAAGCACTGCACCACCACACAAGACAAAATCCAGTCATTTAAAATTAACTTTATATTTATATAAGAGCACTTCTGGCCTGACCTGTATCTCCTTCCTTCTTGCAGCAGCTGAGACTGTATCATAGCCTCTGTGTTCATCCATCAAACAGGGATAACAGATACACTGCTGGTCGGTACGGCAGTAGACCTCCAGCGGTTTGTCATGGTGGGAACAGACCTTGTCCTGCAGACGTCCAGTGGCACCAGTCAGCTTGTGCTTCTTAAAAGCTGGAGACTCATAGTGAGGCCGGAGGTGAGTTTCACAGTAAGAGGCCAGACACACCAGGCAGGACTTGGCAGCTTTGTGTTTTCTCCCAGTACAGACGTCACACTCCACATCTCCAGGTCCAGCATAATGGGCAGCAGGAGTAGCTGCTTGTAGTCCAGTCTTCTTAAGTATCTCCACCACCTCAGCCAGTATGGTGTTTCTGCCCAGAACAGGTCTGGGTGTGAAGGTCTGTCTGCACTGGGGGCAGCTGTAAACTCCAACATGATCCTCCCGATCCCAGCAGCTCTTAATGCAGCTCATACAGTAACTGTGTCCACAGGCAATAGCCACTGGATCCTTCAGTAGATCCAGACATATTGGACAGCTGAACTGGTTCTGATCCAGTGCTGAGCTGGCTTCTGCCATTTTACCACGAACACTGATAAGATTCAGTTTAGTTTTCTCTCAAAGTCGTCTGTGTGTGAGAGTAGGAGGAGCTTCCTGCTTCTCAGGCTGCAGTAGGTGTGGTTTTGGACTGAGGCCAGACTGAGAAGAACAGACTGGGCGAACTGTGGACTTGGAGTTTATAACTAAAACAGTACAGTATGCAAACTATACACACAACAGATATTTATTTGGCTTTCATGAGAATAACTGTTACTGACACTGTTGGCCGTAAACAAGCTATAATCCTACTCTTTGATGTTGTACAGTAGATAGAAATTAGGTAGAAAGGTATAAGAGCAGTTCTACAGAATTAGTTTAGAAACAAGTTTGGGATGATGTGGTTTCAGGTGAAACATGCAGGTATGTGCAATTATAGACAGACTGTGTCAGGATTAGATTGAACAAGCTTTGACAAATACTGTCAATCCACACCTTTATTTTTACATTGTTCAATATAAATAATATTCATGAAAATAAATGGTGTAGCACATATATGTCATTTCTTCCTTTTCTTTCTGTGTGTGCTGGGAGTGTATTTGTGTTAGGAGCACATCCAAAATTTTTCCATACTCTAATAATGAAAATTATTCTAGATATTCATTGAACACTATTATGTTAAAGTCTCACATTTAAGCCTAAAGTTTCAGCTTCAGCCATCTCCAGGAACAGAACAATAAAATATCCAAAAAGTATCCAACAAATTGCAATAAGCGCTTATCCAGTACAGGGTTATGGGACACAGACATCACAGGAAGCACAGGGCACAAGGCAGAGACACCCTGGATGGGATGCCAGTCCATCACAGGGCACAAGGCAGAGACACCCTGGATGGGAAGCCAGTCCATCACAGGGCAAACACTCACTCACATGCTGAGGATAATTTAGTGACACTAATTCACCAAAATGCATGATCTTGGACAGCAGGAGGAAACCTGAGGAAGCCCACAGGAACACGGGGAGAACATGCAAGCTGTACATGCAGA